TTAGCTCACAGTGTTGAAGACTGACAGTCCAGATAGCATGGTGCTGGCCCTGGAAGGGTGATTCTGGCTGTGTCGCATCTCAGAGGCTGGCATCCTGGTGGCAGCATGAGCAACAGGAAGAGATCATCCAGCCTGATAGGGAGCCAGAGAGGGTGGGGAAAGGTCAGCTTTGCTCTGTTTATAGCGACCCTCTAATGAAACTAGCCATGCTCCCACAAAGATGACCTTAATCTCTTCCAAAGGAAGTGTCCACAGCGACCTGACCACCTTGCTCTAGGTTCCACCACCTCCCAATATCACTGCACTGAGTAGCACGTTTCCAACACACGAGGCCTTCAGGACACATTCAAACCAAACCCAAACCACAGCCAAAGCGAGAGGAAAGCTCTTTTTTTTTTTTTTTTTTTTTGACAGGCAGAGTGGACAGCGAGAGAGAGAGAGACAGAGAGAAAGGTCTTCCTTTGCCATTGGTTCACCCTCCAATGGCTGCCGCGGCCGGCGCACCACGCTGATCCGATGGCAGGAGCCAGGAGCCAGGTGCTTTTTCCTGGTCTCCCATGGGGTGCAGGGCCCAAGCACCTGGGCCATCCTCCACTGCACTCCCTGGCCACAGCAGAGAGCTGGCCTGGAAGAGGGGCAACCGGGACAGAATCCGGCGCCCCAACCGGGACTAGAACTTGGTGTGCCGGCGCCGCTAGGCGGAGGATTAGCCTAGTGAGCCACGGTGCCGGCTTGGAAAGCTCTTTATAGTATCTCACTTCTGGTCTCCCCAGACAGGAAACAGAAGTTCCATTGGACTTTTTGGGAAAAATAGTGTTGGAGCAACATTTTCTGCTCTTGTCCCCGTCTTTTTCTTTCTTTCTTTTTGAAGACTTATTTTATTTGCTTGAAAGGCAGAGAGAGAGAGAGAGAGAGAGAGAGAGAGAGAGAGAGAGAGAAATCTTCCATCTGCTGGCTCACTCCTGAAATGGCTGCTGCAATGGCCAGAGCTGAGCCAGGCAGAAGCAAGGAGCATGGAACTCCATCCAGGTATCTCAAGTGGGTGGAAGGGTTCCAAGCACTTGGGCCATCCTCTGCTGCTTTCCCAGATGCATTAGCAGGAAGCTGGATTGGAAGTGGAGCATCCAGAACTCAAATTGGTGCTCATAAGGGATGTTTGTGTCACAGGTGGTGGCTTAACCCATTGTACCTAAATACCAGTTTCCCATCTGTTCTAAAGCAGAAAAGGCTATTTGGTTGATGATGTTTAAAAAATTGGAACTTGGGGCTGGTGCTGTGGCTCGCTTGGCTAATCCTCCGCCTGCGGTGCCGGCATCCCATATGGGTGCCAGGTTCTAGTCCTGGCTGCTCCTCTTCTAGTCCAACTCTCTGCTGTGGCCAGGGAAGGCAGTGGAGGATGGCCCAAGTGCTTGGGCACCTGCACCCGTGTAGGAGACCAGGAAGAAGTACTTGGCTCCTGGCTTTGGATCTGTGTAGCTCCAGCCATAGTGGCCATTTGGTGGGTAAACCAGCAGAAGGAAGACCTTTCTCTCTGTCTCTCTCACTGTCTAACTCTACCTGTAAAAAAAAAAAAAAAGAAAAAAAAGAAAAAAAGAAATGGGAACTGAAAGTACATGGGATAACTTCAATGTTCCCCTTTTCAGGAAAATACAAATTTCTCCATCCTCCAAGAACTTAGCTCCCTCAGACATAGGGCTGGCCTGAACTTGGGCAGGGAAGTTCAACTCAGGGACAAAGTCCTCAAAGCCAAATGCTAATCAACATTAATATAACTTATGTAACTATTCTTTGCTCCCTCTCTGATGCCTTTGTGTATTTTCCCAAGACTTCTCAAAACTCTAAAGGAAGAGGGAATAATTACTATGAATGCTTTCTGGAAATAAGATGGAAAAGAATAGGACAGTTATGGAGAGTTCATTACTGCCTGAACCCAGTCCTGGTATATGTACATGACTCCATCATTGGGTAAGGCAACTGCACTTCTTGACCACTAAAATGAGGATAAAACTAACAAGTACCCTAGTAACATGAGCACTCATTCATGGAAATGTATGAAGTACATCAAAAAGCTGAATTAATAGAATACTTACATTGTGCTATGAACATTTTTAGGTATTTAATGTATAATAACTCAAGTAATCCTCAAAACACTGTAAGGTAGTTTTTGTATTTAGTTCTCATTTTACACAAGAGGACCAGGATGCAGGGAGGGCTCAATAACTTGTCCCAGGTCACATAGCAGGTATATGACAGAGTTGAGATTCTCATGTAAGTTATCAGGCTCCAGATCTGAACCGTTAACTCCCATATAATTCTCTCTTTCTGATTAAAAATGGATGGGTCTATTTTTAAACTATTTTTTTTACTCTTAGAATGAAAAACTAAATGCTGGAATCTACAATCTCCTCAATCAATGGAAGACTATCCCTTCTCCCATTCCTCTACGTGTTCTTCCCACTTTCCCTTTCATGGCGACTTGATGTTTTTCCTTAAGACGTGATCAAGATAGAAATGATTGTGCAATTCAGTAGGGACGTTTGGATCACAGAATCTGGTATATTAGACAAAACAGAGCTTTTATAGACCACCTAGGAGAAAATGAAGACTTTCAGAAGGTGAAGAAAGTTAACAAAGTAAACTGGCTCTGCCTCTCTGTAACTCCGCCTTTGAAATAAGTAAGTAAGTAAGTAAGTAAGTAAGTAAGTAAGTAAATAAATCTTCTAAAAAATCATTGGTTACACTAAAAAACTAATAGGATGATATAGGTGTGTGCTCAAAACTCCTGCAAATTATCATCTCCAAACTCCATCATATATTCTAAAAGCTGGAAAGACCAATCTTAATTGGTAGTCTAAGCAATCTTCTGTCATGAGAACTGATTCAACATATTACAAAAAAGACTCATTCAGAGACGTATTCATCAGTCACAGAAACGATCATCTAGTTGGTATGGTCATTCTATCACCTCGAAGGATGGTGGTAGCCAGTAGAAACAGGACTCAAACTTAAGGTTTGATCTCAAAGACCCTGCTCTCTCTTTAATGTCACAAAAGCATTATACGTTATCTAGTAATTAGCTCTATGATATGAGGTGTACCCAATAGTTCAGTGTATTACAATTAAAAGTCTTTTGGTTGTTAAGTGAATGACACTGGTACAAAACAGCTTAAATACAAATAGGCAATTTGTTGGTTTTTTTTTTCTCAGATAATTCCTATAGTCCCAGAATAGGAAGTGTAGTTTATGAGCAACACATACAGAAAATGGAATTAGGAAACAAGGCAGGTACTCTCTGTCTTCTGCAAGGCCCTAATGTGCTATTTGTGCTCAATTCCTTCTCTCTCTGCAGCTGGCTTTGAAACTCTTTGCACGTGCCTGGTGAGACAGTCTCACCAGTAACTTGTGCACAGTATCGGTCCAGTTTCTTTTAGATGTCCAGTTTGTTATGTGTGGATGAACTCATCCCTGTTGGTGGAGGCCAGTTTCTGAAGGAGCCATGATGAGCAGACATCCAGTCGTATACTGCATCCAAACAGGTGTATACCATAGCATGTCTACAGTTCCTCATTTGAAAAATAGGACAAGTACTTTAAATCATAATCATAATATTTGTTAATTTTTTTAAAGGATTTATTTATTTGAAAGTCAGAGTTACACAGAGGAGAGGCAGAGAGAGAGAGAAAGAGAGAGAAGTCCTTCACCTGATGGTTTACTCTCCAATAGGCTGCAATTGCCAGAGCTGCATCAATCCAAAGCCAGGATCTAGGAGCTTCTTCTGGGTCTCCCATATGGGTACAGGGGCCCAAGGCCTTGGGCCATGTTCCATTGCTTTCCCAGGCCACAGCAGAGAGCTGGCTCAGAAGTGGAGCAGCCGGGCCTTGAACCGGTGCCCATATGGGATGCCGGCGCCTCAGGCCAGGTCATTAACCCGCTGCGCCACAGTGCTGGCCCCCATAATATTTGTTAATAACTAAGTCTTTATTCCATTTCAGGCACATGGCTAAGTCATTTACATGTATTATCTCAAGGAACCTTGTAATAACACTATGAAGCAAGATATTTATTGACCCATTTTATAGAGAGAAAATGATGTACTGAGAAGTTAAAGAAATTGCTTAAAGTGCTTTATAGTGCTAAAATGTAATGATTTTTATTTAAACTTCACAATCCATCAAAGATAGATTAGAAGAGTGAAAATAATACCAAACCATGTTTTCTTTTCCTTAAAGAAAAGGCTATAGTCTAAATAAAAAAGGAAAGACTCAGTGCATCTCAATGATCAGATGAATTAAATTTAGACTTTTATCATTCTATGAAAGATCATGCATGATTATAATTAATAATGAAAAAAATTTATTTTGGGGGCTGATGCTGTGGCATAGTAGGCTAAGCCTCCGCCTGTGGTGCTGGCATCCCATGTTGACACCAGGTCATGTCCCAGCTGTTCCTCTTCTGATACAGCTCTCTGTTTATGGCCTGGGAAGCAGTGGAAAATGGCCCAAGTGCTTGGGCCCCTGCACCCACATGGGAGACCCATAAGAAGTTCCTGGCTCCTGGCTTTGCATCTGCCCAGCTCTGGTCATTGTGGCCATTTGGGGAGTGAACCAATGGATGGAAGATCTTTTCTCTCTGTCTTTAACTCTGCCTCTCAAAAAAAATAAATAAAGCTTTTTAAAAAAGTTTTTGTTAAAATAGTTAAGTCTGACATCCAGAAAAAGAAAATCTCTAAGTATGAAGTGTGAAATTTGTGGTTAAAACCAAAAGATGGACAATTAAGTTGAGTTTCTCAAGTTGAAGATAGATTTTCCCTTACAGTGTATTTCAGCATTGTTCCATAATGTTAATTATATTATGTTGATAGTAGTTGATACTTCACTCTTCATGTCATTTGAACACGTCCAACTTTGTGTCTAAGCTTATTACCTCATTCAGATGTAGCACAGTTGCAAACATGTTGCAAATACAGTTGTTCCCAATAAGTAGACAAGAATGCAGAAATGTTCAATTAAGAAAATTTTATTTCCATACTGTATAATAAAAAGCTCTTCATTACTGGGGAAATGATACAAATTCAGCAAAGCTTATACATCAGAGGTGAAGAACCCGTCACAGTTTCATTGCAATATACCCTTGAAGTGGATTTGACAAAAGAACCAAATCTTATTTTGTATCTAACACCCAAAGTCAAAAGAAGCTTTTCTCCTCTTCTAAGGAAGAAATTGTTACCATTGTAGGGAGGCAACAGTCATTAAATAAATTAAAAGCATCTTTAACATTTTTCCATATACATATATAATATATACTTTTATAATTGCCATTGACTGTACAAGCATTAAATTCTCCACTAAAAACATTTACATAAACTAATGTAAAAAGCTGAAGGGAAGGCTTGGCTTTATTAAAAATGGAATTATTTTATCACTTATAAACTACATTAAGATAGAATTCTCAAGGGGAATAAAAACTATACAAAGAAGTCAGACTTACCCAAGATTTCTTGTCTAATTTCATATTTAATTTTACACATCAGGTGTGCTTAGCTATTCTCTAACTGAACCTTGATTCAACAAGATGTCAATGTCCAGATGTTAGTTACTTGTTAGCACAGAGAAAAATGAGAACAGAAAGACTAAAGTGGATAATGTAACTACATAAACATTTTTATAAGTCAGACTGATAACAATATTACATATGATTGCCTATGAAAACATTAAATGGCCAATAAGTTTTATTCAGAAATACTAAGGTAAAATAATATCTTAATGAATACATGATTATCAGTTATTATATAGCTAAGTTATTGTAAAAATTAGTCTGGAATATTGTAGTCCTGAGATTTGAGGAATCCAATCTTCCAGTTTAGGTTCTGTGATCTCAAATCTTGTAAATTGTATACTATTTGCACAAGTTACAACAAAGTGTTTTTAACACATGGTATAGACAATGGCTGTCCCTGAACTGGAATTGAAGACCAAGTTATGTAAAGAATCTTCAAAATGACCCTGTGTGTGTGTGTGTGTGTGTGTGTTCTGAATGGAGAAATAGGGTAAGGAAACTGGGGGAGGGGAGATAAGGGAGGAGGGAGGAGAAAGATTTAGGGAATAGCATCCATAGATGTGGTTTTTCTTCTCATCAATGCAAATTGGACATCAGGAGATTTCTAAAATGTGTATCTAGTGATTATTCAGAAACAGTTTATAAAACAGGCACTTGCTTGAATTTCTATATTCTAAATAAATCTTTATTAATTAAAATGTTCATCCATTTACTTCAACTTTCACTACTGAAAAGTAATGTTCCTTTATTCTTTGGGAATAGAACTTATCCTCAGTTCAGTAGAGGTTCATTAGTTAGAAGATCACTCAGAAATAGTAACTGGTCAAAATTATTTCCTAAGAAATAATTGCTAAAAAGATTATTCAAGTGCTTTTATTGTGTTGTAATTTTCATGTCAATTGCTACTGATACTTGAAATAATTGATCACTTGGTATTTTGAGATTTTTTTTATTATTTAGAGGGTTTGGAACTATTATGATTTAATCTGTATTAAGTAAAGAATTGATTCAAATTAAGAAAGGTAACCAACAGACATTTGACTATAAGAAGGCTGAGAAGTGATTCTCAGAATTGCTGGAAGGTTTCATTCATGCATCTCTACAAAAAACTAAATTTAAGAACTTCATGAAAGCTACCAATGAAAATTCAATTTTCTTTATTGAAAGACAAGTATAACCAGGATATGATGGCCACATTCTGACTCATTTTTATCATAGAATTTTCCTTTCAATTTTTGACAAAAATTATTGAGAAGTAATTTCATTCTCTACCACACTTTGGATGTTTAACTTTTTGTTATCAGACAAAAAAATGACTGAGAAGAAACCATGGTATCTTAGGCCCCAGAACGTGATTCATGTTTCAGAACTGGTATGCCTTAGTCACAGGACCAACAACACCCAATCAACATTTGTGCACTTGAAGTATCAAATAGCTTCTTGTCATGGTAATCTTTTAAAGGATTTCCAATAAAATATTATTTAGACCCCAGGGATGCTATATTTATTTATACGAACACACACAAAAAATGTAGAATGCTCTTGCAGTGTTTTTCTCTCTTCAAGGAAGATGCATATGAAGTAACTGATATAATAAATCCAACATTTTAGGGTCAAAGGGCCTTCCAGTTCTAGTGGCCAGTCCCTTCCATTTTGCCAGCAGGGGCCCTAAAGACACACAGTTGACACAGTGTCTTTCACAGAAGAATTGCTCAATAAATATTTATTAAGTGATTGAACCACCCTGGATAGCTACAGGCAGAGACAGAATAAAACCTCCAGGTCTTCTGATATTAGGCAGCCTCTGAAGTGGCTTAGATCTTTCTATCATCAGGTGAGATTGACCTCAGACAAGCATCGATTGCAGATATAACGACACCAACAACAGCCTAAGGACTGAAAACACGTCTCACAAATACAGTGAGTGAAAGAGTTTAGAAATAATTTTCAAAGGCTAGAGTACAAGAGGAGATATTGCTAGCAAATAGAAATGGAAAGAAGCATCTATATTGGACTCTCTTTCCTGGTGATAATATTTAGTGAGCTTTGCTAAAATGTAGATTCCACAAACAACCAATACACTAATATTCGGCACACACTCTTCACTCAACCCACACAATGACTTGTGGTGGAAGAACAATAGTAAAACAGGATCTCAAAAACTTTTAGATAAATGCCAAAGTTGATAGAACTATTTAAAGCATGCTGAGCTGCTCAGGAAAGAAAGGCAATAAGCCTGCTTCAAAGTATGAAATGAGTCTCTATTTCCCTTTGGTCATTAGATGAGTAGAGATAAGTGATAAACTATTGTCGTTTCTCCAATCTATTTTCAAAGCCCAGTATAAAAATAAATCAGTGAATTTTCTAACAGTTCTAAAAACACTTGGAGTGATCATTTTTCTTGTGATTAAAAAAAGAAATTGATATTCATACTCATGTTTCCTAACATCTTGCTTTTAGTTACATTCAGAAACAAATACAGTCCAGTTCTTCTTTGTGGAACTCTTGAGTCTATTTGCTTATTCTCTTTTGAGTATATATATATAAAAAAAACCTTTGGAACAAAATGCATTGGCAGTGCAAAAAAGAAAACAAATCCATAAAAGTAAGGATTGATTTAAGCATTCGACTGAGTTCTTTGTCACATTATCTGCAAGCACAAGACTCTACTGTCATGTTAGGATATACTTTGAGCACTACATTCTTATTTTCATCAAAGAATAAGATACTGAGTGAAGACATCTTTTCCGGGACACAGCAAGGCTCAGGAATCCCAGGAACGACCCCCACAGCTCTCACTATACTCTGGATGGTAGCATGATTTGATGGTTTCAAAGACTAGAAAGAGAAATGGAGAAAAAAAACATGTTAGGTAGAAATGTCTTTCCATTCCTCGCAATGCCACTTCTCATCATATAAATTGCTCATTTAATAAATTCGTTTCAATAATTTAATAAAGTTTTGATATCATTAGTCATTCAGCCCTATTTCCAACACCACAACCAACAAAATAGTGATCATTTATTAACTTACTGCCACATTCCAGGCATATTATGCATAGTAGCTCTAATTCACATGATAAAACTGGCATTTCTTATGTTTTGTAAAGACTTAAAGTTTATAGGACACGTTTATGGTCAAGTATAGCTAATGAAAAAGACAGAAATTGAACCCAGTGCTCCCAGAAGAAATCATTTAATTACAAATAAATCGATACCAAAACATGAAATTAATGCTTTCTAGGATTGCTCAATAACAGCATTGCAGCAAAAATGATTCTGTATTGACCTTACATTAATCATAAGCCAGACAAGCACCCTATTTGCCAGAGATACATTATTGCCACTATTATGGTAATATTTATCCATTTTTGCTAAAATAAAACCAAACAGGTCAGAGAGCTGTTTTTATTTAATTTATTTAATAGTTGCCAAGAGGGTGAATTGGATGGAGACTCTCACCTAATTCCCTCAAACACAAGCTGGAGTTAGGAAGACCACATCATTGGCCACTTGAGGTCACTATTGTGCTACATGTTCAGTTGAGTTGTGTTCTAAGCATGGGCGATCTCCACTGGGAATAACAATCCAGGGTGCTTAAGGTTATCCCTTTGATGTAGAAAGTAAAACCAAATAAACCTGGGTGACATCGCTGCCTTGAGACAACACCAAGTGGGACTATTCACATGCATGTGAAGTGGTTTTATTGAGAGCACTCCTTACAGCTCTTCTCTACCTAAAAACAATGAAGTCACTTTTGCCCAGAACCTCATAAGAGATGTCACACTTCTCATCATCAGTTCTCTCCAATGTCTCTTTTACGGGAGCTAAGCTAGTTTTGTTTTAAACACACCTAGACACCAAAATTTGGTAAGCTGCCAGACACCAAGCCGGGTGGAAGATTTAGACACTAGTAAATTTTTAACTTAGAATTGTTCATTTTGGGACTTGGAGATATGTCCTGTATAGTTCAGAGACACCCTACCCCCATTGAATTCGTGTTTTAATTTCAACCACCTACAACTCTCAGTATGGGACACTGAAACAAGTGAAATAGTTTAGCTGGAGGAAAAAGAGATTATACAGAAAGCTGCCTTCCTATATATACAATATTTATTTATGATCAATTAGAAATGCTGGGTATAAATATCATAGCATGCTTTTTGGCAGAGACAGGAAAAATCTGATTTGTCTCATCCCATCTTTTTTTTTTTTTTTTAAACAGGTAGAGTTATAGACAGTGAGAGAGAGAGAGAGGCAGAGAAAGGTCTTCCGCTGGTTCACTCCCCAAATGGCTGCCATGGCTGGCGTTGTGCCGATCCAAAGCCAGGAGCCAGGAGCCTCTTCTTGGTCTCCCATGCAGGTGCAGGTCCCAAGCACTTGGGCCATCCTCCACTGCCTTCCCAGGCCACAGCTGGGAAGAAGAGCTGGACTAGAAGAGGAGAAGCCGGGACTAGAACTGGCGCCTACATGGGATGCCAGCGCTGCCGGCAGAGGATTAACCAAGTGAGCCATGGTGCCGGCCCCTCATCCCATCTTTTAATTTCAATGAAAAGAAATAATTTGTGTATTAGACCACAACCTTATCAGGAATAGGCAGAAATCATTAAAAAATTGGCCTAAACGATGAGCAAACTGTGTTAACTCTTTCCACTGGAGATTGTAGTTAATTGCAATTAGGGATTAGCTTTACATACTGGCAAAAGGGGCATTCTCCCCTTAAGATAAGGAATTCCATGCTGTTCTGTTTTGTATATTGCGTCGCCTGCATCATCAATACAATATGTGTCACTCACACAAACGGCAACCGGTATTACACAACAGATGTCAAGAGTTATTGCTCCTTTTCTAAAAACACGTTTGCAATCATCCACTTTCCTCTGTTACATAAAGTTGTACCGAAGATGCAGTCATCCAAACAGCTTGTCCCAATGTCCAGCTTTTCTGACTTTGTTCTGTTATTATTAATATTTAATGATTCCTATACTATTTACATTTTATGAAAAGTGGAACCTGAATTACATGTGGCCCAGGGCAGTAAATACTGCTGTGCACACGGGACATACTAAATGCTGAATAAATACTTCCCAAGTGGACGGATACAGACAAGAAATAGAGTACCCTCATTTTTACCTATTTCTGCGGAAATAATTCCCATCAACAAAAATAAAAGTTTCTGTGCAAATGACCCGGTTTAAAGAGGGAAAATATTCATGGGTGTTTCCTAGGAAAATTCCTGTCCGTTCTGTTTTTTTTCAAGCCTCAACTCAGAAGTGATAGATTCAGAAACTATGAGCATATAAGTAGTCTCCAGCGGGCCCAGCAGAATTCAGGCCCCAGCCCCTGCAGCTGGGTGGTGTGTCTTATCAGGAGCCTCTCAGGTCACAGGGGGTTTTCCCTGTTACTGTCCTGTGAAATCAAGCTGCCATTCTCAGGAGGAGCAATTCTGGCACACACGGCAGCCCCGTGCGGTGATTCACGGCTGGGAGGCATCCTGCCAGCCCGTGATTCTGGTGGTTTCTGAGTTCAGATCATGTTTCCCATGACCGTCTTCACGGAGTTCAAGGACTAGCTCAATCACGAATGCAAATATCTGCTATTTTCTTCACTGCTCTCTTTCTAAGGAGAGTGAAACACGAGTTTAGGTTAGGAATTTTTTTGCTAAAATAACTCGGTATATCAAGATTTAACATTTTTTATATTTCGTGACATTAGAATTGGAAAATCTAGGAAATTAATGGAGGGTGCACCATGTTGAATTCATAAATGTGAAATTCTTCTTTACATAGAATACTTAGTTCAAGTGCTTAACTTTCTTTCTTTCTTTCTTTGGCCATCTAATTCTATGTCTTTGCTATCCTTAGCTTTTGCACAAATTGTTTGCAAAAAATAATTTCATTCCTCAAATCCTTGTTGCCTCCCTTGGACCTCTGTTGGCAGCAATGGCTCAATCGTTTTCATTTGAAATTTCTGTTTTCAATCTCTGCGAAGGTGGTGAGGAAAGGCAAAGGCCTACAACTTGGCCTTAGCGCTGTGGGTATATTTCAACTCATGGCAGAACTCCAAGGGTCTTTCTTGGGGAGAACAGATTGGCTGTAAGGCTAGCAATCAGAAAAATCCAAACTGCAGTGTCTGTGAATGAAATCTACAGTGGTCAGGCCTGCACCTGCCAAGCTGTGTATGCTGTCCTCAAGTTGAATTTGATTACAAATGCATTAGCTGGGGAAAGTATGTCATCAGCTAAGAACCTTCATTCCTGACCTGGGCCATGGGGTTTTGCTCCACACTCTTCCAGTCCAGCCCACATGGGTGTGATATCCCAGAAACTATCTAATTGGAATCAGTGAAAGGGCAAAGCCTGGAATTTGGGAAAGGCAGAACACAGCTGTTTTGAATTACGGAACAGGTTGTCGGCTTTTGCAGACCGAGAGCTCAGCCGTGTAGAGTGGGCTTTTGCTCCGGAGGCCAAAGAAAAGGCAGGCCAACAGAGGAGTCAGGCCTAGGGGGTCTCCTCTCTGCGGCAACGTGTGTATCTAAGTCTGAAAGTTCTTTGGCACCTCCACAACTCCCCATGTGCTATGAGTGCTGATCTGGCCCGACGCTTTCATTTTCCTCTGTTATTGAGGCTCTAACTTTTATTTCAACAGCTCGCCCTGGCTTTCCTAGTGAACACTGCAGATGGTAGTGATGTTTATTAACTACCCCTCGTGTAGCAGCATCCTATGGCTTCATCTTCCCCACCTTCTAGATAACTGTACCGCTTGAAAGACACAAAGCCTGGAAGGCTTCAAGGGAACCAGCAGAAAGCTTTAAAAGCTAAGCAGTTTCACACAAGGTGATGAGAGATTGAGAACGCTTTGTAACAGCCAAACTTCCACTCTGGACTTGGCAAAAAGAACATCTCAAGCTCAGAGAGAGATCCGCACACTTATCCCTGTTATGTCTCCCTGGAGTTTGAATGCCATTCCAAGTCATGACAAATATTATGATGAGTTTAGTTGCTGCAACTGATGCTCTCCTGATTCTATTACTTGCCAAAGAAACCTCACTGGAATTGTTCACAGACTGCCGGACCCGCAGGGAGAACCCGAGTTTCAGCTTGTGGTGTCGGAAAAGGGACTAGGAACATTTAGAAAACATCTTCTTGATTCACAATGTTTATTCTCTTGATCCCTTTCCCTACATAGACTTTCTCCAGCCTCCTACACTTAAATTTCTCTGGCTATTAGTAATCATGTCAATAGCAGATATTTCCAAAGCACCTACTATGTGCAAGTCACTCTACTACCTCATTTCCCACTGCTTTTGTTATGTAGATACCTATTAGCTCTTATTATTTACTTGTTTCAAAGATGATAAAGCTAACATCTAGACGCTGACTTTTGCAGAGAACCACAGGTGGTTGAAACCAAAATTCGAGATTTAAGCAAAAGGGATTTGACCCTCAATTTTGCCATCCAACATATATTACATGGGTCAGCAACATCAGCATCACCTAGGAGCTTTGTTGGATATGCAGAGTCTCAGGCTCTATGCCTACATCCACTGATCAGAGCCAATGTAGTAACATGATCCTAGGCAATTTGCAAGCACCTTAAGGTTGATGAAGCCCTGGTATGGCCAAACATAAACACTTACTTATTCTGCCATATTTTTCTTCTTACATTTATCTCTGCTCTTCTTCACTTACCCCTTAACAATGCTAAAGTGACTGTTCCTCAAGCCAGTGAGAACTATGGTGAAGCTCTTTTGAACCTGCATCAGGACTGTGGACAGTAAAAGCACACAGAAGCAGGGGCTCAGAGCAAAGAAGCTGGGAGAGCCTGCCGAGCGTGGAGCAAGCCAACGGTCTGGAGTCAGGGACTGAGAAGCAGACTACATTAATATGGCTGCCTGGCATGGAAAGCCAAGACACCCTGGCAAAAAAAAAAAAAAAAAAAAACCCTAAATGAAAGATCTCCGTGAGTGAGATCCCAGTGGAAAGAACAGATCATCAAAGGAGGTACCTTTCTCTGAAGGGAGGAGAGAACTTCCACTTTGACTATGACCTTGTCTAAATATGATCAGAGTCGGTGAACTCAAAAGGCTTCCATAGCCTTGGCAACTCATGACAGAGCCTAGGTGATTACTGACGTCATAAAACAAGAGTGTCATTTGTGAGTCACAACAGAGTCACTGTGCACTTACTCTCATGTAGATCTCTGTCTGATGTGCTGTACATGAGATTGAATGCAATAACTAGTACTCAAACAGGTATTTTTCACTTTGTGTTTCTATGTGGGTGCAAACTGTTGAAATCTTTACTTAATATATGCTAAACTGATCTTCTATATATAAAGAGAATTGAAAATGAATCTTGATGTGAATGGAAGGGGAGAGGGAGCAGGAGTTGGGAGGGTTGCGGGTGGCAGGGAAGTTATGGGGGGCGGAGCCATTGTAATCCATAAGCTGTACTTTGGAAATTTATATTCACTAAATAAAAGTTAAAAAAAAAAAAGAAGTGAGGAGCAAAAGAAAAAAAATTATGGCTGCCTGGGTCTGAAAGCCGGAGCCGGGAGGAAAGAGAACAACTCCTTCCCCAGACTACCCAGACAACCTGTATTTCATGGGCTGATTTGGAAAATTCCAAGCCTCACTTAAAACCACTCATCCCAAGTTTGAAGACAGATTTTCAGTCCACTCTTGCCTCTCAATGCCACAAGGCAAGCACCACTATAAAAATAAAGATCCACCACTCGTGGTTGCTTTAATCATCTGTGCTGTGTGTACCTTTAATTGTTCTCCCAATTGAATGGGTTTTGTTTGATCAGCGAGCTGTCCTTCATGAATAGCTAGACAAGATAAGGCCCTTTATATAACTGTAAATCTGTGTCATCTTTATTTTGTGTTTAGGCTTACAAAATATTAGCCCATCAAAAGTCCTTGGCAAAGACAAGTCTCAAAAATGATAGAAATCTCATCCTTTTGAGAGCTTCTAATAAGAAAACTATTTCAATCAACTTTCTGGCCCCAGGGCTAACCCAGATTTGTGCAATTGGCCCTTTGCTTTTCTATGTGTGTTAAACTTGTCATCTCAATGATCAGAGGATTAGAACATGAAAATGCTATTTAAAGACCAATAAGCAGAGGCTGGTCACTCTTTGAGGCAAAGGACTTTTTTCTTCAATATAATTCTATAGCAAAAATTGATTCATTTCAAATAAAAAAGAAGCCATTCTATTCTTTTGTGGGATTTGGTTCCTTGAGCCATTTTCATTGTATAACAGGTATAACAGCGACTTAAACTGTTATAAGCTGAAAATGGAAGTGCAGTAATAAGCTTAACTGAGGCCAGAGGACACCAATGTATTTCACTGTGGAGTGTACAATTTACTTTCTATATTCAAGAACAGTCAAGTGGGCTTGCTGTGCAAGATGGAGGTGGGGGTTGGAGAGACATCAGAAAATACATTTGTCAGGATGCTGAGTACTCATATGATAAGGTATGGTCCCTGCTGATTTTAGAAGAGACATGGGTAAGCTCTGACCAGTCGACTGGGCCTTGGGCAGTGTTTACAGAGCCATGGTATCTTTGATATTTAGCAGGGAGGCAAGTGAGCTAAGTATCTATCTGGTGGATTTCATGAGGCTAGTTTACCTGGCTGCACCCTAATCCTGACCTCTGTGGGGACATCTCATCGCATAGGAGACTTTAATCCAAACATATTCTGCACTGAAGTCTCAGCACTACTAGCCTTTCTGTTCGCTTCCATAACAGTCACCATTCTCTGAATAACTTCTCCCAAATCAGCTTTTTATTGTCTGGGGCTTGCTTATCATGGATAGGTATAGATTCATACATGAACACATAACTGAATACATACCACGCTTGTAAGCAGCATAGAAAACACATTTTACACATACATTTTTTCATATCTCTTATACTCATATCACTTTACTTCATATCTCATATCACTTTACCTACCATTAAAGAAAAACCATGCATAGCCATATTACCTAATATATATCAGAGTGTGGTAAGGATTCTGACAGATTTTGTAAATGAAAACACACACTTATTTTCTCTCTTGCACACACACACACACACACACACTCAGTGTGTCCTTCTTTCCTCTGGAAGTGGGAAGTGAGTACAGGACAAAGAACAACAGTTACCTTTGGCATGGGGAACTGGCATGCTCCTGAGCAGTAATACGCATCAAAGGACTTGGGGGAGATAATCCATTCACTCCAGCCAATATCTGCAAAGTCTACCTTAAGGTATCTTCTGGCACAGTCCCGAGGTTCAAGCCATTGCTTTCTTCTTGCCTTCTTCAGAGTCTGCTCATCGAACTGGAGTGTCTGGCTCTTCTGATGGGGCCCCTTCCTCTGTTTCTTTTTGTTCTTACTTTTCTCAGGGGGCTGGGTCTGAAGAGTCTTGTAAGGCTTTCTCTCCTCCCATACGCCCTCCTCCTTATACTGATATTCTGCCCCAGGAAGCTCATTGTTCTGCAAAGGCAACAAGACCCCAGTAGAGCGCTTTTTTCTCCGTTCAACAGAAAGGGCAGCTCTGATGTGCCTATCCAATTTGGGCACAGAACCAGTGGGGAAATTGCGGTGTCCTTGTAAGCTTGATACTACACTTTCTGGCTCAGAAATGGCAGCGTCATTGGCATACACCAGGATATAAGGCTCTGGAGAGAGTAACATCCTCTTTGGCAGCTGGTGGGCTTTGGAGGTGATGTTAAATCCAATGAGGAACTCCTCCTTCTCCTTGGCCTTCCTCAAGAGTTGAGTGATATCTTTAGAGAGCCAGGGTGTGACATCTCGGTGAGATTTGGCTACGTCTACTGAGAGATGACCGAGGGGCTGACTTTGGTTCCTGTCCGATTTGAGAATCCATGCAGAGAGAACTATCTGAACAGGCTTCCTCTTGGCATGGTGTGAGCATCCCTGGGACACTGGACAACTCAGGTTGGTGTTTACCAGCTCTCCAGAATAGAAATACAGTGTGGCTGATAAAATATTTTCAGACTTGGTTAGAGAAGTCAGATTAAAAATATGTAGTCCCTTGCTTTCAACAGCTCCTGTAAAAGGAAAAGAAAGAGAGAGAGAGAGTAAACGGGACCCCTTACTTCTTACCACACAAATAATATTAACTCAAAATGGATCATTGACCTAATTTTAAGAACAAAAACTATAAGATTCTTTGAAGAAAATATAGGGACAAATCTTCATGACTTTGGGTTTGGTGATAGATTCTTAGACATTATACCAAAAGTGTGGCAACACAACAATAATTAAATCCATGAAACGGCTAAACTAGACTTTTGTGCATCAAAGGACATTATCAAGAAAGTGAAATTACAACTTAAAGAATGAAAGAGAATATTTATAAATTATAAATTTACAATCCAGAGTGTGTAAATAAGTTATAACTCAACAGAGAAACAAATAAAAAATGGATGAATAATTGAATATAAATTTTTCCAAAAAAGATACAGAAATGGTCAATAAGCTTATGAAAAAAATACTCAGCATCATTAGTCATATGTAAACAAAAATCAAATCCACAATGAGCTACTACTTAAATCACACTAGGAGGCTAAGACAAAACAAACAAAAACAAAAATCCCTCAGGGTGTGGAGCAATTAGACCCCCTCACATTGCTGGGGGAATGTACAATGAATGGGTCAACTTCCGTGGAAAACAGCTTGTCAGTTCCCCAAAAAGCTAATCATAGAATTAACATGTGATCCAGCAATTCTGTTCCTAGAATATATGCCAAAGAATCAAAAACAAGTACTCAATAAGTATGTTTATAGCAGCACTATTCACAGTAGCCCAAAGGCGAAAACAGCTCAAATGATTATCAGTGGATGAATGGATAAACCAATTGTGATATATTCGTAAAAGGGAGCATTATTCTACTATGGAAAGGAATGAACTACTGATAATGCTACAACATGGAGGAACCTTAAAGTACTAAATGAAAGAAGGTAGACACAAATGTTCACTCATTGTTTGATTACATCTATCTGAGATATCCAAAATAGTTACATCAAGACAAGAATAGAATGCTGTCTTCAGGGACCAGAGGTAGGAGAAATAAGAGGAAACTCTTTAAGGGTTATAGGGTTTTACTTTGAAATGGTGGAAATATTTTGTAACTAGACAGATGTAATTGTTGCACAACGTTATGGCGATATTAAATGTCATTTTACTGTTTGCTTAAAAATAGTTAATTTTATGTTGTGTGCATTTCCCTGCAATTAAGACCAAGAAAGCAAAGCAAAAACATTATGCAATCTCCTGCTTTTGAGGGTTTTTGGGTGGGGAAAAAAGAGTAAACAAGAATAAATTTAAGCCGGCGCCGTGGCTCAATAGGCTAATCCTCCACCTTGCGGCGCCGGCACACCGGGTTCTAGTCCCGGTTGGGGCGCCGGATTCTGTCCCGGTTGCCCCTCTTCCAGGCCAGCTCTCTGCTATGGCCAGGGAGTGCAGTGGAGGATGGCCCAGGTGCTTGGGCCCTGCACCCCATGGGAGACCAGGAAAAGCACCTGGCTCCTGGCTCCTGCCAGGATCAGCGCGGTGCGCCGGCTGCAGCGGCGGCCATTGGAGGGTGAACCAGCGGCAAAAGGAAGACCTTTCTCTCTCTGTCTCTCTCTCTCACTGTCCACTCTGCCTGTGAATAGAAAGAAACTAAAAAAAAAAGAATAAATTTAAAAGCCAGAAAAAGATTAAAGCAAGAATCAGCCATTCTTACTAATTTGTTCTTCCCTTTACTGAAGCACCATCAGTGTTTGAAATTTGTAACAGAGTAGTGGACTTAGTGGGGTGAGAACTGAGAGTTCTGGAGGCCAGCAAGACCTATTCCTACAATTATGGCAAAGTGTTGGAATAGTTTCTTATCTGAGCATGCATGGCCCAGTGGTTGTGAGCATAGGGTTTGGATTTAGACTTGCTTTGATTCAAGTGCTGGCCCAGTCTCTTCTTAACTCTGTAACTTCAGGAAAGCTAATATACTCTTTCATAAAATGGAGATAATACCTATCTTCCATGCCATCAGAATCGAGTGAGGTTTGTGTAAAGGGGTCTATGAAGAGTTTCTTAAACATAAAATATTATTGTTTCTAGTACCTGTATCCACAGCACAGGGATTATATGTTCTCCTACGTGCCTCGCACAGTGTAGAGTGCAAGATAAGGGCTGGGTAAACAGAACAATATATGTCAATATTCAGATAACAGAGCCGAAAAATAAGCCAGACATTCAAAGCTGTCAAAAAAGAAAATGCTACTGAGGAGCTTGTCTGAGGTTTACGACCTGAACTTCAAGAGAGAAATCTCTGTATATTTAATAGAAACTATTGAAATTGTTCAGTGATCTTTCCAATGCTTCAGACATAGGTATGGGAGAGAGTGACTGAGCAGGGAGGAAGGGAGGAAGGGAGGGAGAGAGAGAGAGAGAGAGAGAGAGAGAGAGAGAAACAGAATGACTGGTAAGGGCAAAAATAGGTTTCTTCTCTTAGGACCATCTAAGGAATAATCCGTGGAGCTGAGGTTGGAGCTCAGGAATCCCAGTCCTGGGATCGATCACCAGGGCCTCGCCCTCCTCCATGCACTTGTCCATATACATATTTGTCTCAGAAACACACACGCAATCGTGAAATTATGTTCTTGATCAAAAACATGTTTCAGTAAAAACAAAACATTTTTATAAAGACGTGGAAACTCAAAATGAGTTCATTGAGTCCCCAAGCACGAGGGAAGTGCAATGGGAAACATATTTCACTCGTCTTTAACATTGTGTGAAGGAAAAGGAGGAAACTGCCATTTGTGCACATTTGTATAATCCATGACACCAGGCTAATATCTTACAGACCTTTTTAACAAAGCCATGGCATCAGGGCTGCTCGGAGACTAACCTTAATTCATCCCAGTCACCGCACAATATACTATTGCTCAAATTCTCCGTCAGAAACGCAAGTTTGAAATGAAAGAAAGAGAAGTCCCTCTGTTCTAAGAATGCAGCAATCAAATCGTCGCAAACATGCCTACCTGCAGGGAACACTCAAACTCGGAGGGACATGAGGGGCAGGCTTCTCAAGCATAAACCAGTCAGGCTACTTTCTCCCATGGTTTGCTTCAAAATGTTTCATTCTTTCAATCATGTCTCTGCTCACCTTGTGACCTGCTCTTAATTAGCTTCTTTCCCTGTGTCTCATCTCCCACATTTTCTCATAAAAAACGCAGAATCGGTCCTGGTGAATCATATGGTGGCTCTGATTTTAATACAGGGCATTGTTTTGAAGTCAATGCCTCTTTCCCAGCCCCAGCTCCATACCCTCAACAGTGGTCCTCCAACAAAATAACCTAAGCTCTTTAGGTCTCCATTTGCTCATCTGTAAAATGGACACAGGGGCAGTAACTGCTGAGTAGTTCTGAAGATTAACTGAAAGATTGCAGGCAAAGCACACATTACTCAGAAAATACTCAGTGAATGATATTGCATTGTCCAGTAAGATAATGAATAGTCACTTAAGATCAGATGGAGAGGAGCTGTTCATATACGATGCATCCTGAATTCTGAAGTATTAATTTAAAAATATCACATTAATATATTTTATTTTGAGTGCATGTTGAAATGATAGCATTTGAATAAATGGTGGCTTAGTACATTATTAAAACTAATGTCACTTGTTGCTTTTTACATTTTTAAATGTGGCCACTCACATTTTAAAATTATATGTGTGGCTAAAATCTATAGCTTGAATTAAATCTCCATTGGGCAATTGTGATCCCAAGGGGCCACCAGATTTATAGTCATCCAGTCTGAAGGAAAGGATGTGGTAAAGAATTAGGATTCTGCTACACCTGATTATGCAAGCCGAACAGTAAACTGGGCAGAAGATTCCCTTCTTGCAATGCAGCATTCTTTCTTTACAAAGAATATATTAAAGATAATCTTGGTGACTTAAATTTTCATTCCAGCTGTCATCATTTCTATCTGCAAATGTCTAAGACTGATGAACTGCTCTAAAATAGAACTAAATGGGCAATCTAGCAACAAGGTCTTATGACATAGAGGTCAAACACAGCTCCAATTGTGTGACTTGTGTAGTACTCACACAGACTACCACAACCAATAAGAAACAGAGACCAAAGTAAAACAAATGTTTTACTTTACCAGATATGACATTGAACACCTACTAGGTGCTTGGCCCTTGGTGTGGTCACAGCACTGCATAAATGTTTGCTCCTGGTCACACAGTGGTACGGAAAGGATTCACAAGCATTATTCAGGTAGCTATGCCAGGATGATAATACCAGTTGTTGAAGGTGTTAAGGAAGAGCTTGGAGCAGAAGAAGAGAGATTAACTGCCCAGGGAGACAGCAGAGGGACACACAGGAAAAGTTGACTTTGATGCAGACTTTTTAAAGATAAAGGTAGATGAGAAGAATGAGAGGAGGATGATGGGAGCATGCTCTAGCCTCATGAAATGTTGTATCAATTGATGTTTTTGTATAAAGAATGTCATCAGTGTCTTCAATATAATACAGTACAATACTTCAAATAAACCCAGTTATTCAAAGTCCTAGGAAATGGCTCATTGCCCAAGTTCAGGAAAGAAATAGCCACTCCACAGCTCCTAAACCAAGGTATTAAATTATACCTGAAATTTAACGTCTTTCTTCTTCCCTGCTCTACGCAGGCTAGGGAGCCCTGCTTATTCTATATACCTTCTGCCTTTTTTAAAAAATAAGATTGATGTTTTGACTGTTCCACAAAGTGTTCTTTGATTTCTCTAGCCTATACATTATTTTGCCTTCTCTTTTGTAAGTCCATCAGTTCCTGAGTAAGTCAAAGCTCTTCTGCACAAAGTAGCCCAGCAGATGCTTAGAGAGCATATACAGTAGATGAAAAGAGCACTAGCAGAGGTGCATGGAGTTGAACAAATGAGTGCAGAGTAATAAGTCAGAATGAGATAAATACATCCATGCAAGTGGAAGTAATGACAATATGTATCCAATTACATTCATCCTTTCCCATTACCTAGATTTCATATTCATTTAACTTCTCAAA